GGGGCCCCCACTCACGCTCGCAGATGGGTTTGGGGGTGCTCCAGCGCCCCAGCTTGGTGCAGTTGCTGCGGGCGCTGCCCACCAGGCGGAACCCGGGGTTGCAGCTGTACTCGGTCCACGTCCCCTCCACCGGCACCCGCTCCATCGCCCGCGCCACCGCCTGCCCGTTCTCCAAGCTCAGGTGCATTTTGGGGCAGGTCCTCACTGGTTGGGGGTGCGAAGGGGTGGGGTCAACGCCACACCCTTCCCCGGGTAACCCCCACCGACGCGGTGGCTGCTGGTTGGGATGGTGACGGTGATGAAGATGGTAAGGGTGATGGGGGTGTTAATGGTGATGGGGATGCTGATGGTGACGGGGATGCTGATGGTGACGGTAACAGTGATGGTGACGGGGATGCTGATGGTGATGGTAACAGTCATCGTGGTAAGGGTGACAGTGATGGGGATGCTGATGGTGACAGTAACAGTAATGGTGACGGGGATGCTGATGGTGATGGTAACAGTGATGATGGCGATGGTAACAGTGATGGTGGTAAGGGTAACAGTGATGGGGATGCTGATGGTGACGGTAACAGTAATGGTGACGGGGATGCTGATGGTGATGGTAACAGTGATGATGGTAGTGATCATGACAGTAACGGTGATGGGGATGCTGACGGTGACGCTGATGGTCATGGTAATGGTAACAGTGAAGGTGATGGTCATGGTAATGGTGATGGAGATGCTGATGATGACGGTGATGGTATGGTGATGGGGATGGTGCCGCTAACGGTGATCATGAGGGTAATGGTAACGGTGACAGTGATTGGTGATGGTAAGGGTGATTGGTGATGTTAACGGTGATCATGATGGTGATGGTAACGGGGATGGGGATGGTGCCGCTAACGGTGATCATGAGGGCAGTGGTAACGGTGACAGTGATTGGTGATGGTACCGGTGATGGTGATGGTAATGGTGATTGGTGATCATGATGGTGATGGTAACAGTGATTGGTGATGCTAATGGTCATCATGATGGTGACGGTAACAGGGATGGGGATGGTGACACTAACGGTGATCATGAGGATGATGGTAACGGTGACAGTGATGGTGATGGTGATGGGGATGGGGATGGTGCTGCTAACAGTGATCATGAGGGTAATGGTAACGGTAACAGTGATTGGCAATGGTAATGGTGATCACGACAGTGATGGTAGCAGTGATGGTGATGGTAGCAGTGATGGTGATGCTAATGGTGATCATGATGGTGATGGTAACGGGGATGGGGATGGTGCCACTAACGGTGATCATGAGGGTAATGGTAACGGTGACAGTGATTGGCGATGGTAATGGTGATCACGACAGTGATGGTAGCAGTGATGGTGATGGTAGCAGTGATGGTGATGCTAATGGTGATCATGATGGTGATGGTAACGGGGATGGGGATGGTGCCACTAACGGTGATCATGAGGGTAATGGTAACGGTGGCAGTGATTGGTGATGGTAAGGGTGATTGGTGATGTTAACGGTGATCATGATGGTGATGGTAACGGGGATGGGGATGGTGCCACTAACGGTGATCATGAGGGTAATGGTAACGGTGGCAGTGATTGGTGATGGTAAGGGTGATTGGTGATGTTAACGGTGATCATGATGGTGATGGTAACGGGGATGGGGATGGTGCCACTAACGGTGATCATGAGGGTAATGGTAACGGTGACAGTGATTGGCGATGGTAATGGTGATCACGACAGTGATGGTAGCAGTGATGGTGATGGTAGCAGTGATGGTGATGCTAATGGTGAACATGATGGTGATGATAATGGGGATGGGGATGGTGACGCTAATGGTGATCATGATGGTGATGGTAACGGGGATTGATGACGCTGAGAGTGATCATGATGGTGATGCTAACTGATGGTAACAGTGATGGTAACAGTGAAGGTAACGGTGATGGTGACGGTGACAGCAACGGGGATGGTGACAGTAACAGGGTGACGGGGACACTCACGGCAGCGGCTGGGGTGGCCCATGGCGGTCCAGGTGCCGTCGCGCTGACACTTGCGCACCTTGGGCCCCACGATCTCGCGGTCGGGCCGGCAGACGTACTCGATCTCGTAGTCGAAGGGGAGGAAGCGAACGCTCTGCACCTCCTCGGGGGTCAGCCCCCGGTAGCGGATGCCCCCGTCCCGCGGCGGGTGGATGATCTGGCAGCCTGGGGGGGGTTGGCGGTCAGCGTCACGCCGGGGTGGTGTCACGCGTGTCCTCGTGCGCTCACACACACGCGTGTCACCTACCTTCGGTGAGGTTCACGTGGATGGCCGCCCGGTTGGGCTCCGCGCTCAGCGCCAGCAGCAGCAGCAGCAACATCTATAGGGGACGACGACAGCCCCACACTTATGGGGGGGAACATCCCCTATCGAGTACTCCCCACACATGCTGCAACACCTATAGAGGACACCCCGCCTGCCCTGCATCCCCTATAGAGAGTACACCACATGCCACGCACCCCTATAGAGTACGTCCCCTATAAACTACACCCCACATATGCTGCATCCCCTATAGAGAGTACACCACATGCCACGCACCCCTATGGAGTACATCCCCTATAGACTACACCCCACATATGCTGCATCCCCTATAGAGTACATCTCACATGCCCTGCATCCCCTATAGACTACACCTCACACATGCTGCAACACCTATAGAGGACACCCCACCTGCCCTGCATCCCCTATAGAGAGTACACCACATGCCACGCACCCCTATAGAGTACGTTCCCTATAAAGCCCATCCCACACGTCTTGCAAGCCCTATAGAGGACACCCAACATGCCCTGCGTCCCTTATAGGGTACATATGCTAGAGTACACCCTGTGCCCTGCATCCCCTATAGAGAATACACCACATACCATGCACCCTTATAGAGTATGTCCCCTATAGAGTACACCCCACACATGCTGCAACGCCTATAGAGGACTCCCCACCTGCCCTGCATTCCCTATAGGCTACACCCCACATATGCTGCATCCCCTATACAGTACACACCACATGCCCTGCAACCCCTATAGAGCACATCCCCTATAGAGTACACCCCACATGCCCTGCATCCCCTATAGAGCACATCCCCTATAGAGTACACCCCACATGCCCCGCATCCCCTATAGAGCACATCCCCTATAGAGTACACCCCACATGCCCTGCATCCCCTATAGAGCACATCCCCTATAGAGTACACCCCACATACTCTGCATCCCTTGTAGAGTACACCTCATGTGCCCTGCATCCCCTATAGAGTACATCCCCTATAGAGTACACCCCACATGCCCTGCATCCCCTATAGAGCACATCCCCTATAGAGTACACCCCACATACTCTGCACCCCCTATAGAGTACACCTTACGTGCCCTGCATCCCCTATAGAGCACATCCCCTACCGAGTACACCCCACATACGCTGCACCCCCTATAGAGTACCCCCCACACGCCCTGCATCCCCTGCAGAGCACACGCCCTATAGGATACACACCACAGCTGCTACACCCCCTATAGAGCACACCCCAACTACGCTGCATCCCTTAGAGCATACGCTCACTGGAGTCCACCCACGTGCCCTGCATCCCCTATAGAGCACACCCCACATGCTATGCATCCCTTATGGAGTACATCCCCTATAGAGTACACCCCACACAACAGGCATCCCCTATAGAGCACATCCCCCTACCGAGTACACCCCACGTATGCTGCAGCCCCTACAGAGTACACCCCACATGCCCTGCAGCCCCTATATAGCGTACATCCCCTATAGAGCACGCCCTATAGATTCCATCCCCTGTAGATCACGTTCCCCATCGATTATGCCCCACATCCCCTATGGAGCACGCCCCGCCGCGTGCACCCACACACACAAGCATGTCCTCCCCTATAGAGCATGGCCCGCTGTGTATGCACACAAGCCCAGCGTCCCCTATAGAGTACCCCCACGCGCACACCCGTGCTGATGCCCTATAGAACACACCCCCACGTGCGCACACCGGCATCCCCTATAGAGTGAAAACGTGGCATTCCCACGTGGCACACGCAGCACGCAGGACGTCACCTATACGTACTTACAACTCCTCTCCTATAGGTGTCAGAGCAACCTACACCCCGCTTGCACACCCATGGTGCAACCTACACCCATCTTACACGCTCACAGGCAACCTACACCCCGCTTGCACACTCATGGTGCAACCTACACCTTGCTTGCATGTGCACAGTGCAACCTACACCCACCTTACACGCTCACAGGCAACCTACACCCCGCTTGCACACTCATGGTGCAACCTACACCTTGCTTGCATGTGCACAGTGCAACCTACACCCACCTTACACACTCACAGGCAACCTACACCCCGCTTGCACACTCATGGTGCAACCTACACCTTGCTTGCATGTGCACAGTGCAACCTACACCCATCTTACATACTCACAGGCAACCTACACCCCACTTGCACACTCAGAGTGCTAGTTACACCTGTTTGCACACACAGGGCACGAGCTACAGCCGTTCACATGTGCTGTGTAAGCTACACCCCATTTGCACACTCACAGTGCAAACGACACCCTGCTTACACACGTACAGTGCAAACTACACCCATTTGCACACTCAGGGAGCGAGCTACAGCTGTTCCCACGTGCGCTGTGCAAACTACACCCTGCTTGCACACTCGCAGTGCAACCTACACCCCGTTTGCATGCACACAGTGCAAGCTAGAGCAGTCTGCACACACAGGGCGTGAGCTACAGCTGTTTACACATGCACTGTGCAAACTATACCCCATTTGCACACTCACGGTGCAACCTACATCCACCCTACACACGCACACTGCAAACTACACCCTGCTTGCGCATGCACGGTACAAGATGCACACGCGTTGTCCCCTTCTATGCATGCACAGCGCAACCTACATGCCGCTTACACACGCACGGCGCTAGTTACACCCGTTTGCACAAACAGGGCACAAGCTCCAGCCGTTTGCGCATGCGCTGTGCAAACTACACCCCGTTTGCACACCCACAGTGCAAACTACTCCTTGCTTACACACGCACAGCACAAACTACACCTTTACACACACAGTGAGTGAGCTACGACCGCTCACACATGCGCTGTGCAAGCTACACCACTTTTGCACACCCACAGTGCAAACTACACCCCATTTACACACACATGGTGCTAGTTACACCCCGATTACACATGCACAGTACTAGTTAACCCCGCTGACACACACACAGCGCTAGTTACAACCCTTTACACGCACAGGGTGCTAGTTACACCCCAACTACACACGCACAGTACTAGTTAACCCTACTGACACACACACAGCGCTCGTTACACCCCTTTACACGCACAGGGTGCCAGTTACACCCCAATTACACACACACGGTACTAGTTAACCCCGCTGACACACACACAGCGCTCATTACACCCATTTACACGCACAGGGTGCTAGTTACACCCGATTACACACGCACGGTACTAGTTAACCCCGCTGACACACACACAGCGCTAGTTACACTCCTTTACACGCACAGGGTGCTAGTTACACCCCAATTACACACGCACGGTACTAGTTATCCCCGCTGACACACACACAGCGCTCATTACACCCCATTTGCACACACAGGGTGGTAGTTACACCCCGATTACACACGCACCGTACTGGTTAACCCCGCTGACACACACACAGCGCTAGTTACAACCCTTTACACGCACAGGGTGCTAGTTACACCCCGATTACACACGCACGGTACTAGTTATCCCCGCTGACACACACACAGCGCTCGTTACACCCCTTTACACGCACAGGGTGCTAGTTACACCCCGATTACACACGCACAGTACTAGTTAACCCCGCTGACACACACACAGCGCTCCTTACACCCATTTACACGCATATGGTGCTAGTTACACCCCGATTACACATGCACGGTACTAGTTAACCCCGCTGACACACACACAGCGCTCCTTACACCCATTTACACGCATATGGTGCTAGTTACACCCCGATTACACATGCACGGTACTAGTTAACCCCGCTGACACACACACAGCGCTCCTTACACCCCATTTGCACACACAGGGTGGTAATTACACCCCGATTACACTCGCACGGT